ATTAAATAAGTAAGAAAAAATAAGTTACAGTTTTTAATGATATTCTAATTATGTGGATACAATTGATTAAGATCGTACTGATTAATTTTCAATAATTATGCTTTATTAACGATGACTGTGAATATAACGATTTGTGATACTTTGTATTTGAAACTATCGTTCTTGACCGATTTTAATACATTAACAATTTGTCTTGCGGTGGGAAAGACATCGAGTAAATAATTATTCTGACGCAGTCAGTACCTATGTGCAAGAACAATGATAGTCATTGTTTTTTAATTAAAGAAGCAACGAGAATATTTTGCGTAACATAACATCACGCCTTTTATCCCTGAAGGGTTAGGCAGACTGCTCCCGCCTGGGTGAGGCGGAAGGGAGTGTCAGAATCTTACTCTTACTAAAAAAAAAAAAAACTGCCACTGTACAATATAACGCCCACTTTTCACTATTTATGTTATGAGTCCCATGTAATCGGGGGCGAGTCTATTGCCATTGCCATACACCGGGCTCAATTCCAGACTCCGTCCTATTACTGGAAATTAAAAACAAAATCAGTAATACATTATTTTGCATTGCTTCTCAAAATAGGGTCGATCGTAATATTGCCTTCTCTGTACGAGAAAACAGTTAACAGTGGAGAATGTACTAAAATCTACTATAATCGATATCTAAGTACCTATTTAGCTACTTCTTGGTCAAGTAAACAGAAAACTTCAAGATTAATTTCTAGGTAAACTTCATCCCGCTTTTAACAAATATGTAAGGTAAACGGCCCAGTAACCGTGAAGTTTTGAACTTCCCTGACTTTGCATGCGCGCTAGGCTGAAACAAGTAGACTTATGAAAATAAATTTTATACGACTAGTTAGATAATTTAGTATACTTTTAATATATTATAATTCTAATAAACTTATGGAAATGTTAATTAACAATAAAACAAAAAAAATACAAAATGGGCTAACTGTACCAGTATCCGGTAGAATTGTACTAGTTACCGTTTTATTGTCCCGAAATCCGGCAATTTTAAGTGCAAATTTGAACTCTATTGCTTTACGTTAAAGTTCACAGAAATAAAATATTTTTAAATAAAAATAGTAGTGAAAACAATCAGGGTCTGTATTTAACAAAAAAGGCATGAATTGTTTTAATTTTTTTAATTAAAAAATTACATAAATTATTGGTTAACACTAGTAACATATTTTAATGGCATCTTCAGTAACCTTTGGTAAAAAAACATCACTAACTTAAATTTTTACATTTTAAAATAGAATTAATGGATTCCTCAAGGTGTGCCATAATAAAATAGTCTTCCACTTCTTTATACCACGATCTTAAACTGCTTTCTTGAACTAAATCACGGGTTTGCATTAGATTTTGGGCTACTCGCTGGCCTACTTCAGGGTGTCGCTTTATAATAAGGCTTCAAACCAGTGACGACCTGGTCTGCCATTTTTAAAAGGGTTTTTTCGCTTCAATTTTTTATAAAATACGCTATCTAACAACTGCGCCTTAGTAACAGGAAATCCACTATCTGCCATAAGAATTATCCATCTACTCAAATGATCTTCTTCTTCTTTTGATATAAAAATTGCGTTTAAAAAACCGACTTCAAAAAACCAAAAACTAATAACAAACAAAAAGTCAAAACTAAAAAGCAAAAAATAACGATTATTAGTACTGATAGGTTACCCACCCACTGATAGGTAAGAAGTCGGTGCCATAAGTTCCATACAAAATTATACCTTAATAGGTACCTAATTCACAATTTTTTGGACATTAAGTTATATCATTATGATATGAGTTTGGAATATTCAATAGAATAGCGGCTGCGTATTTTGTCGTCCAACGATGACCGTGGAAGCTGAAATTGAGGCTCCTTTTCTAACTGCGTCCATGGCCTTTAATATGGCCTTTTGTTTCTTAGTCATGGCTACCTGAAAGAAAATTAATACGTTTTTTTGCAGAAATTAGCAAAATAGTAAAAATACGAACTTTCAAACATATTTATTAAAAAATGTGTGGTAATTCAATTATTGTAAAATCAGGAGCACCGAGCTTTTTCTCGCTTTCCTCAATTTTAGCTGATGCCAAGCAGTAGCCATTTCCTGTAACTAAAGCGCAGATGTTGCATGGTGTTAAAAATAAAGCAATAAAACCCTGACAGACCAGGTTGTCACTGGTTTAAAGTAATCATACAGCAACACACAGAAGCAAGCCGACAATTGGCCCAAAATTAAACACAAACCCATGCGTTAGTTCAAGAAATCCGGAGTACTTTATTATAAGACAACTCAGGCAAGCAAGCAGCTCGAAGCTTTTTACGGACACCAGAAGTCCAACTTGGAAAGGTATAGATCCCATGAAAAATTATTCAAGGTTTTTACCAAATTAATTTACCTTTAGTCAGTTTCAATTATGGCTCAACGACTTTGAGACAATTTTTAGTTCCTATCAATGATTTTTTGTCACCTGGATAACTTCACAGGTCTGACTGACATCTTGCACCCAAATCTGAAGACACGTAAGTTTAGTGACTTATGAATGAAAGTGAAAGTCATACAAGAAATATGGAAAAGTAGTGGCGTATGAAAATGTCGACAGGTGGAGTTCCAAATAATGAGACATATTTATCTAACAAATTTTATCAACGATGACAAAACGTGTAGGTACTGAAAATTACACACAAGTTACCATTTGTCAAGACTCCAACTGCAAAGCTTAATTAATTTATTACAATATTCAAGTAAATGAAATAACTAGAGCTTTTTCGCCCTTGCTATAAATTTCAACTACTGTCAAGGAGTACCTACTATAAAACGGTGAACTTTGCATGACAAAATACAGGGCCACTGTTCTGTTGAACTCTAAAACCATGTTTAAATAATTGAATTACCATTGCGATTGTCTTCCGAAACAATTTTTTTTAATGTTGCCCAGTTGTCAATATTCCTATTAATATACTGAAACTGCGCCCCATAAATAAAAAAACTGGTTTTAGAGCAGCAAAGCTGTAACGCAAACTATACAAAATTAGGAAATCATTCAGAAAAAACCAACCAAATGCACGTGGTAACAAAACAAATAAGATGCCTACTAATTACATTCTATCGAGTTATCGGAAAATAATACTTATCTTAAGGCATTAAGGACCATGACGGATTTAAATGCAACTGTTAATGCATGTACTAGTATCCAGCAGAAAATATTTAATATAAACTAAAATTTCAAAGGAATATGAGACCTATTTCAAAGCAATAAGGATACAATACCGGGTTTCGGTGCAACGTATGTTACCGGGTTGATAGTGTACCACTAACCGGTAAAAAAATAAACGAATTTACCGGGCACTAGGGCAAGTAGGGGTTTGTGAGTACCAATAAATGTAACATGCAAAAACTTTTACGTTTCAATGAGATTTACCTTAATTTATAGGTTAAATCGTTAAATAATACACAAAACTTTTTATAAACATTAACACTCTTACCTTAATTTTATCCGTCGAAGTATGGCTAGATGATTTCTGCAACGGGGTGGTCTCGTAGTTCACTGACAGAACTTTGAACTTACAGACAATTTCATTATAACGTATTTTTAAGTTTGCACAGTTTTGACGCCATTAAACTTTTTGGTGAACGTTGCTATTAAAATTGTTTAAAATAGTACCAAGAATAAATTGGCATTTACAAACTCTAATTTGATTTTGGTTGAAAGACGTAAAAAATTAAAAACTGACTAGTTAACGGGAACTGGGACACTAACGGGAATACGTACTTCTACCTTATGACCATTATGACCAATGCTAGTTATAAGAATAATTTTATTTAGCAAAAACAAAAGACAAGTGTAATTCTATTATTTAACAAAATGTGGTAATGAATACTTATAAGTACCTATCATTCTAGATAACTTCTGTAGTTTTCTTTTCTGCTACTGTTTGTAGTTTCCTTATCTCTATAATGCCTTATTAAAACATTACATTATCTAAATATCTAAAATGTTTTGCTACGAGTCTGCTTGCTTTACGAACCACCAATAGTAAGGCTGGCTTACTTTTGATGGTTTAAATTTATTCTATCTCCTCAATTCGAACATGTTAAAAGCGGTACGGAACGGTAAGCGTTATCAAGAATAACCAGATAGTTAACACAGTTAGGTATAAATTAAAATAACAATGATGTTCATTTAAATATTTAAGACTATTGTAATGGTTGATATTTCTTATACCATTGACGTAAGTACTTTTTGGCATAACAATTTGCAATCTAAAATTATTTTGTTAAAAATTTAATATAGACTTTCGTCATGATAATGTTTTGGATTAAATACTTATTACGCAGAACTATGCCTTATCGTACTATGGTGGAATTGAAGGAATAGGTATCTCTAATTATGTTTTTCAATTTAATTGTTGATTATGTAGTTACACACGGGTCTACGAACTTATGACGTAAATATTTAAGTTACTTATGTATTAAGTAACATAACATAACATCACGCCTTTTATTCCCGAAGGGGTAGGTGGAGGTGCATATTACGGTACTTAATGCCACTGTATAATGTAACATCCACTTTTCATTATTTAAGTTATGAGTCCCTTGTAATAAGGGGTGGGTCTTTTGCCATATTATTATACCGGGCACATTTCAAGACTCCGTGCTACGTTTTAAGTATTTCGAGAAAATCTATATTATACGTGGCTCACTGACCTAATTAATTAAACCATTTTGATGATAGACAGGACATTCTTCTGTCACATTTTTATCCTAACTATCTTCTATTAGCTATGTTAGTGTTACTTCCAAAGATGTTTATTTATATTAATGTACGTAGCAGATACCTAGCTGCAAATAAGTAATTCGGTCACTGGTTTATGCGTGACTAAATAATAAAGATCCATTCAACGAAACATTGAACATGCAAACATATCGTGTTTGTTATTGAAGCGGAACACGATTTACTCAGCCTTTACCATTTAAACAATAAAATACTTTCTTTTTGCAGATCGTGGCAGCGAGCGCTCTCGTAATGATAGTGGTACCCAGATCTCGACTGCCAGCTGAAGCAGTAGCCCAAGAAGCTGTTATGGTAGCTCTGTACCACTTCTTCTGCTTGGTCATAGCAGAATGCGGTGGCACAGAACAGTTTGTCAGGTCCGTAACTCCTTACACACTACTCAATCAAACACTTTTGTATTTTTTGCGCTTAATAAGGAAGTAATTACATTCTTAACAATAATAACTTTGGCATTTGGAAATAAGTTGAGTTATTTTGAGTAGTTGTTCATGCTTCAATTAAATATAAAAATTAAATAGTTAAAAAATAGCCATCGTCGTGTCTATACATAGAAGGAAATCGAAGCGCCCGCGTTTAAACTTTATTAATGACCATAAATGGTTTTTGATTGTGTTCGATGATTACATAGACAAATCCAGTATTTTTTAATAGCTAAATGGGGTTTATTACGCGATATTGTAAATTGTGACCCAGCCACATTTTACAAATGTTAACAATTTGGGCGTGAATAAAAAATATGCCTAAAACGTTGAGTGTTTAGACGTATAATTGTTTTAATTTACACTCCTTTTTTTAGGCAGCCAAGTACACTAAATTATGACAATACTATGAAAAATATTTTGCAAAATATATCCGTTCTCATTACGAGAATTTCAACGCTTTACCAATGATGCAATATTCGCGAATCGTTTACGATTTTACACAACAATTTGTAAAGGTGAAGTATTGAATAAGCCAAGTGGTAGCCTGGTAGCTCTTTCTTGATTACTACGTTCAACTTTCATGACGTAGGCATTAAAAGTGCAATGTTTTAAGAGTTCATTCATAAAACTAATTACACATAATACCACTATTAGTAGTAGTAACCAGGTATTAACTAGTTTTTAGATTTTTTTTTAAACGTTGCCCCACACTAGAATAGTAACAAAACAATCTATCAACACCATTCGATGTAGGTGATCTTGAATATTACATGTTACTAGTGTTGTGCATCGCGATTTCACCCGGGTTGGGACTTCGTCATCATTCAACATTTGACCTTCGTGAATAAAATTAAATTTTATATTTTTCTTTCTTAAACTCTGTCTGTCGAAATTAGAGCGTGAATTCAAACAAAACACTTAAATATGAAATGTTCAATTATATCATTTTAGTGATTTGGATCCGAAATGAAACATTCTTACTATTAAACCGATAGCAATAACAATTAAAGAAATGATTCTAGGCCCAGCAATGCACGTACGGATTTCACGCTGTAGAGATACTGGCTTTCGATTTCTCTTTTACGATTATCTATTACGATTTACGCAATGAGATAAGGAATGTCTATATGCACCTTACTTTAGTAATAAAGCATTCTATGCTTATCTTGTTCTAACACTACAGAACACTATTTACTACCTCTACTGATAAAGAATAGGAAGCTGTGGTTATTGCATTATTTTATTGACAAAGTAAACATTAAATCTTTGTAATACAACACTTTGTAAATGGTTTGAGAATGAAGTAATATATAAATGTACTTATAACGTAAAATTTGTATTATATAGATGTCTGACATCATGCCTGTTTCCCGGAAGGGTTAAATATAGGCTGTTGCTGTCGCAATGACTTTTTGCTCACGCATGTTATGAGCCCCAGCAGTAGACGCAAGTTATAATAATTATGTTATTTATAAAACAATAGCCTTTAGACATCATGTTGATTATCTATAAAAAAATTAGCGCTGTGGAAACGAAATAAAACTTTTACAATTCGTTTGTTTATGTCATTCATATCGATAGACTTATCGATTATTAAGTTTTTCAAACTGCAGCTCTAGGAAATATAAATATACGCTACTTTAATTTTTCTATAGCGTTGCAGAATCGATTAAAGATAATCAACTTGGCTAAGACTAACTTACCATTCCGTACTCCCGTACTACTCATTCGAATTCTGAAATCGAAAAACTCAATACCACTTCTTCGACCTCGTACATATTAGTAGTAGTCTTTCTAGCATTGAGTTACCACAGTATATTAAGAATTACGTATGCATTAATGCACGCGTACCGCAGAATAGCGAATATTTTCCTATTGCGGTTCGGTTAGGTAACCCACAACATCAACTCTTGCGTGTAGATGTGTTTGCTACTACGTGTGAGGACCATGTTGAAACGAAATTGCTTACCTCCCATAGATCGAATCGCGTCTCGTCGCACGTTTTGTAATATTAGTGTATTATTCATGTTTACAACTGTTTTTACCGGAGTAGCGGAATGTTTTGCGTGTTGCAAGCAAGCTGTGTTGATCAGAATTAAGATATTTTTGGTAAATAAGAAATAAAATAAAAATAAAAATGCTAGCTAAAACTACATTTGCTTGCTAGAAATACTTATATAAAATTATAAGATACAAGTTAAGCTTAAGCTATCTTACCTACATTAATTTTTTTAAATCGTTTTTTGGGTATATTATTTTTCAAGTTTATTTTTCTCGGTCATAAATACTTATTTATGAACTGAATAATACATCCTGTGTGTACTTACTTAGCTAGTCGGGTTCATATATTTTTTAGCACACGTTAGTAAAACGTGCAGTAATGCAAATATAGGCAGGTTGGTACAACCATAATTGATGTCGCGATTTACAATGCTAAGGTAAAAAGCACTACTAAAATAATTAAACGTCGATTATAATTGAAGATAAATATTAGTCATAGTCACGAAGGTTATTCAATGCAGGCGTAAACATAGATTTTCTTTATTCCAATAGATTAATCTATTATTATATGTTTACTATGTCTTACCTAAGTAAGCTCCTTTGTCAGATACCTAATAACAATCTTATTTATATTAAACACTTCTTTGTATGTTTATTTAACTAATCTGAAATGATACCTACCTGGTGTATTGTCAAACTAAATCCTAGATTTTGGCATTCATACAGGTATTGAGGGTGGCTACCGGGATGGTTTTGGTGAGGTAAAAATCCCACACTCCCTAGTCTTTTATCTCCAAAAGTCTTTTGAAGGTTTCCCCCGGACATAAAAAAAAGGTTTTTGGCATAGGGTACTTTTCTCCTGACATATATTTTTTATTGATACTGTTATATCAAAATAGGTATATATTTAGTCCAATATCTACATACAGTATGTACACTTTATCTATTCTGTGACCCGTTTTTTAACAAGCCATTCGTAGAGGGACAATATTACATCGTAAGCCTATCGACAGGTTATACATATTATTATCATGACGGATTATCATTTATTATACTTAACTCTTTTTTCAATGACCTCTTATGATTTACTACATTAATTCTATTAATAAACAGTTTACAAGTGTCCATGTTAACCTAATATTATCAAAGGGGACCTGGAACAGGGACATAGAAGATCGTTCTATGACTATACGCATTTTCATTCGCATAGATTCGCAAGCGAAACCGCGGATAAACTATAAAGGTGCTAAATCTGACATTGCGTATATAGGACTTAAAAGTTTACATAGCATTGTTTACTATGGACCAATAATATATTTTTTTAATTATATTTTTTTTGGAACACAGGACATTGATCGCTTATTGAATGTTTACAGAAGCGCTGGTGGCGCTGACCTAGAGACGAGGGTGATGCCATGCTGCTGTTGGCCGTGTTGCGTTATACCAAGGCCGAAGTTGCATAAGTAAGTTCAACGTTCATGATTCAGACTTCTAATGACTTAATGAATTATTAATAAGACTTTTTTCTACAAACAAACTTGTGCTAACATGTCTTTATAATCCTCGAAGATGCTGGGCACAACTGCATAGATTTTTTAATTGCATCTTTTTTTTAACACCCTCTGTGTGTAAGAGTACTATACAGTAGGTGAGCTTATTGGTACGTAGTGTTTTATATGATCCTATAAGTATTATAAATGTCGCGGAGAACCTAACGGGTAACCGGGGCTCCGGCTCGACGTGCAGGAGAAGGAACGGGGTGGTTTTTAGTCAGTAAGAGTCTGACACTTCCTTCCGCCTCACCCAGGCGGGAACAGTAACTCGATGATTTTCCCCCCTTAAAAAAATTAGTATTATAAATGCGAAATTTGTCGCTTCATCACATCAAAATGGCTAAAAGAATCAAGATGAAATTTAGAACGGGGGTAGACTTAATTGTACTTCTATTGGGTGTTTATCATATCTACTGTAGGTATTACTACAAGTCTATTCAACAGTTACGGAAAATTAAATTATTCCATTATTATAGTTGATAGTTAAACCTGTTTATTATACCTACTACCAAGTACTAGTTAGTCTTTAATCATTAATGAATACCAGTGTACCTTTATTAATGAGCAATTATCTAGTACACAGTTACTGCGTTGTAGAATTGTGAATCAATTGTTATTTTCATTATTGTTATCGACTAGATTTATATTAAATAATTTGTATCTATGGTTTAAATTATAAACAGAACATTTAAACAGGATTTTCTGGTTAAGTTCGGAAACATGAAAATATACCTACGGTATACTGTAATAATTTAATAATATAGATAATTTATAATTGTCTCGAATTTTTTTTTTATTATGATATTAAAAGTTATATAAAAATACTTTTGTAACACATTGTCCATTGATTTCTTGCAAAAACTATATTAAAATACTTAGGTATGAACTCACGACAGTAGGTACCTCTACCTACCTTATACCATGAGGGCGGCGCTGATCGCTAACCATCAGGTGGTCCTTACAGAACTCTGCTCATTTGGCACCTATTCGATAAAAAACATTTAAAATGTATTTTTTTTTAAATGTAGGTACTTGTTTACTTAGAGTAAATACATATTGTAGATTAGTTATAGCGAACAACTAGCAATTTCAGTCAAAAGGTGGCAATTACTTAATCGCTTTATAATCGAAACACTACTAATTACTGTTTTTGCCTTGAAAAGGTTATGACAATTACATTGTTTGCACTTGTTTATTCAATTTACTGAAGTGTTTTGAAATAATATTTTTTAATAAATAATTTTGCATGTCTGAGCACCTACATCCTATGTATACATATTTAGGTACTTGAAACCGATCGATTTTAATATGTAAATTCGAATTTTAGAAGTTAGCTCGATTGCATTCTCACCCGTCATTGGTCGCGATTATTCTCACAACCAATGACATGGCGGACCGCGATCGAGTTCATTTCGATCTTTCGAATGGAAAATTACGGAATAGTCTAACTGACTTCGTGTTTCAAAGTGAACCAGACGTCTCCATTGTAGTTTGAAAGTTATTTAGAAGTAATATTTAGAGTAGTTCCATGTAGATAGTTAATAAAATAAGGATTTTTAATAGCTTTATATTCACTGGTGTAATTTGTATAATTGCATAATAACTACCTGTGATAGTGATAAATATCAGGCTAATTGCATGCCATTCCAATTTTACCAGAAATGTATGTTATTATTCTAACTCCATGGTAATCCCTTAGAAACTAGTTATTAAAATATTAACCCAGTTTTTTTTTTCAGGGGAAGTCTAATGTGGTTGCGGTATTTGGTCCTTCAGATACCGATCATTCAAGGACTTATTTATTTCATTCTAATTGTCATCTGGTCGGAAGATTTTGTAAGTATTTTCTGTTATTCCATTTTATGTATGACTTTGGTATCATTTGTAAATGTAGTTGCAATTAAACTAGTTTGGTACCATGATTATCAAGATTCATAGGTCGTCTAATAGCTCGAGAAGAAGTTGTACCTAATGTTTTTTCCTGTGCCTATTTTTATCCTAAGCCACTTGGGGTAGGTACAGTCGACTCATATCTTCTTTTTCCATTCTCTCCTACATCATCCTATCATATTTTTAATCTCAATAGTCTACTAATACTTATACATATGAATACCCCAGTATGTTATATCAGTGTATCAATTCTGTTTCCAGATGTTATACCAAGGTAACTTTGTATACTTCCAACCATTCATCGCGGCGTCCATTCTATCGGGCATGTGGGGCGTAGTGATGTGTGTTCGGGCAGCCATATCCGTGGGTCGTGCACCACGCCCCAGGTTCCTCGTCATCCAGCTCGTACTCATCATCGTGAAGCTGCAATGTGGACTCGCCAAGTCCGTGCCCAACATGGCGAACTTATCCTGCGTTATGAAACTACATCCCGGCGTATTTGCATCTCGTAAGTGTTTTTAAATGGTTATTTTAGTCTAATCTCGAAATATTTTATTATTCAATCTGGGAGCTAGAGAAGGTCATCTTCAGGTCACATCTGTGACTAGATTTCCTATAAGGCTTCATTACACAGTTTCAAATTGATTGGAAATTTTAACTGATGATTCTAAAACCTATAACCTTTCGTCATCATTATCAGTATCTATGCCATAATCCTTACAGTTACCAATCCATTTGGAGGTCGCGGATAGGTCACCGAAAATGTAGAGAAAGCTATTGCCGGGCCTGTGGTGGCTGGGTTTAACCAAAACAATACATTTTTTTTACCATAGTATTGCTCAAGCTTCATTTTGTTTCTAGGCGCAGCTGAATTAATTTATTTTTTCTATCTTTTCAGTTATAAACAACTGTATAATGATGTTAGAGATGCTACTGATATCGATTTGGGCGTGGCGAGTCTACAGCTCCCCACCAGGCAAGGACATGGAGAAAGTGCAGAGAGACAGAGTAGTCGTTGCAGTCTTAGAAGATAATATGCGATCCATTGAAGTGAAGAGCATTAAAGACGGCATCGATAACAAATCCTTCAATAATAATGTACCAGAAATCTGAACGGCTATTTATAAGTACCCTATTAATTGTATTGTGAAACTAGTGATGCATTGATATTATCAACAAATAAGTACACAACGTTGTATTTTCAAAATGAAAATTATGAATATGGCACCTTTTGTCAAAAGCTTTAGGTGTTCTTTTCCAGTGTTTTTCTCAAACACCTTATATTTTTAAATTATAAATGTAGTTGAAGATATGAAAATTTTTGTGATGTGTCTAGGTGATGTTTAGATAATGGCTAACTACGAATCAGTGTATGAATGTGTTTGTGTTTGAATTAGGTGACCCAGTGTAAATTTATTTTTAAGTCGTATATTTAAGTTAGCTATTTCTCTGTGGGGTGTTCCCCTGCTAGGATTTGTGTTGTTACTGCAAGGAAAAATTTGTATGATTTCTTTTTAAGAGAATTAGAAAATCTCTGTCTTTGATCTGTACCAAAAATATGTGTGACCTATAACAAGCCCTTGGTGCTTCATTTTATTGTGATAAATGTGAATACAATGAGAATAGTCAAGAATATACATTTATTCTCCATTTGAGACTTTTATTCCGAATTAATTACAACATTTAAATTACATACGACACCAATTAATAAATAAAAAATGTAAGTACTTTATTCTTCTGGAGAATCATTGGCATTACTTTTGTCCTCATTTTCCTCTGACGGTGTGCCAGCCCGAGAACTTTCTGAGCCGTAAATATTATGCAGCTCTTCCAATTTGTAATGTATTTTCACGCCTTTAGAGTTGGTTTTGTTAACTTTGTTTACGAGTGATTTTGTTTGTTCTTCCAATCGCTTTAACCGTAAATCACGCGCAGCAAATCTAGCCTCGTGATCAATTTCACCAGATGTTGACGGTACTGAATCTTCTTTGTCAGAACCAGAATTATCACCTCTAGATACATTGGGACCTTCATTACTGCCGTGTGCTTTTTCATTGTGAAGAGTTTCAAGTTTCTTGATTATTTTATCACCTGTTTTAAGCGTACCAGTTATACTATTTACCACCTCAGAACAACTGCTTTCTAATTGTTGCAGTCTTTCATCTTTCTTAGCAAGCCTTTCATTTTGTTTTCGAACATTTTCTAGTATGGCTTTGAAATCTGGAGTTTCTACATTTGAAGCTTGTTTGTCGTTTACTGACATTGTGTTGGAAGAATCAGTTGTTACGGATTCTACAGTTTGATCATTATTTACTGTATCTTTATCATTATCTAGTTTTCCGTCTGTTGCTTCAAAGTGGTGTTCTTTATTGTTTTCTAAGTCCTCCAATGAATGTGTATTATCTGTTCTTGTGAGATTGATGTCTGTTGTTGAGATTGCTTTATTTTCGGTGTCAGTATCGATTTGCAAGGTAGGCATTTTTTCAGGTTCATTTTCAGAAACACATAGTGTTTGACTCGTTGTTGGCCTATTTATAAGATGGTCCAGAGTATCATTTATTTGTTCACTTATTTTAACCGTTGTCTGTGTCTTTTTTAATAGTGCAGCGCTGCTCGATTCAAGACTATTAAGTTTTTGATCTTTTTTAGCCAATCTCTCATTTTGAAGGCGGACATTCTTTAAAATTTCCGCTGGGTCGATCAGTGGTAAACTTATTGAAGGTTTATCAGAAGTGGTGGGACCTAATAGTGATTCATTTTCGGGAGCACCGCAGTCTTCATTGGGCTTATCAATGAACTTATCTTCTGCATGTGATTCTTCTGGACAAGAGTCATCGTGGGTAATGTCTCCAATTTCATCTTCTGTCTCTTCACAAATAATTCCATTTTTAGGAAATCGTTCACTTTTACTGGGTTCAGAAGTCAAATCATGATTATCATCACCTTCCTGAGTATCTAGTGGTAAATCAGCAACATCAAGCATATCACTAGCGGGGTCTTCTCTTTCTGCGATGTTAAAGTCTGTACTAGAATCGAATGATTTCTTAAGTTTCCTCTTACATCTAGTAAGTGGCTCTGCCACATATTCACTTTCGTCATTCGATTCAGAAGATTCGTCTGATGGTCTTTCATCACTATATCCACTTTCTCCTGAATTATTGAACGACGGTGAGCCAGATTTTGTTTTCCTACTCGAGAATTCAGCTCTCAGAGTTCTCCAATCTCTTTCAGACTGGGTATTCTTTTCACGAGCTTGTTCCCATTTTTCCCGACAGTATTCAAGTTCTTCTTTAAGTTCGTTCAACAGCTTTCTCTTTTGTTGTAATTCATATTTTAGTATTTTCTCGTGGGTATGTAATTGATGATGATGCCTCCTTAGCCGACCAACAACATGCCATGTTTTGCTTAACTCATTTGTAACCATGCATAGTCTTCGTTCTTGTTCTTCTAAACGAGTTTCGAGGTGGCCATTGAGTTGTTTCATACGGTTGACCTCTTTTATGAGACCCAGTTTTTCTAGTATAAGATCCTGTAATTTTAACAACATCATATTATTAACTAAAGACAACACGTACTGTTTTGCTGATTTAGAGAAAAACAGTATAATTATTGTTTTGTTTTCCAAGTTTAAACAAAAAATTGGCATTCTACCAAACTGAAGCTGCGCATTTTTGAGTACCTACTGCAAAGTAATGATCATGAACATGTTTATTTTTACATTGTGATTTTTGACCATGACTCAATTTATCTAGAAAATAATAACGGTCGGAGCAATGAGATAAGCAATTACCTTTAATCTGATGTAAGTCTGACTAACGCTTGGCACTAACACTGGTCCCGATTTTGTCTCAACGGATTTATAGCACGTTGTTACTTTTTCCGGAGAGTTTCCGTCGGGCGCGTTTTGATGACTGAGAAGCTCTATTAAGACTTTCCAGACTTTCGGTAGATTTTCTACTATTTCTTCAGCAGTTGTAGTTGGCGGTTTTTGTACATCTGTAAAAATCAATACGGTTCAAGTAATGATGTTTATGTAAGTCAAAAATCTGCAAAATAAAAACCCATTGGATCTAACTTTACCTGAATCTTGTTCTGCTGATATTTCCTCTTTGTCTTTAGGTTCATTCGCGTTGTCATTTTGAGTTTCATTAATGTACTTTTCTTCATTTTCATCCACTTGACTGACTAACTCTAACAAAAGTTTGGGTAAAGCCGACGATGCTTCTGATCCATTTTCCTTTTCAGCCATTTGTGTTAGTATGCCATGGTTTTCCTCTAGTCTTTGAACCAGTGTATCTAAATCTTGTTTAGTTTTTTCTCCAAGGAGCACTTGAGAGAAAAGCTATAAATAATAAAAAAAAAATTGACAAAGTTATCCAAAAGGAGGTGATGATAATATTAAATCTCAAATCTCGTATCACTTACTTTATTTACGACTGCCATTTCGGCCTTCAAGACGTTTGTTTCTATCTGACTTGTAGATATTTGTGAATTTTTGTTATCGATGGTATCTATTAGGGAATCTATTCTTGATTCAAGTTCTTCTACTTTTGTATTGAGGTCGTTGCTCCTGAAATTTTAATATTTACAATGATAAGTTAACCCATTTTCGTGTTGTAAGCTCAATTGAATGCAAAGAGCTAAAATTCAAGTCCAGTGTTGAGATATTAAAGAGCAGCAATATATGCAGCAATAAACGAAAATGAGTTTAATATGATGATAGTGAGCTAAAGGTGATAGTCGAACTACTTTTGATACTTACTTTTTTACCTCAGCTTGATAAAGTACTTTATGTTCATCCAACTCTCGGACCAGTCGTTGTCGGGTGACTTCGGCAAGTCGAGCTCGCTCCTCATAAAGCCCTCTGAGTGTGCGAATATTCTGTAACTGCCGTTCATACTCTTGTCTTAGATCGGCTGATAGTAGATTTGTCTCGCGATCCGCTAAAGTTCGTTCAATTTCATTTAGCTTTTCTTTCAACTGAAAATTACAATTTTATAAATTGTAGTTGTCTACTATAACTTGCATATAGTACGGTTAGTAACAAAGATCGGTATTCCTAATGACCAGTAATGACCTACGTCAATCAAAATAATTTATTTATCTTAATTGATAGCCATATCAAAATGACCAAGAAAATTTTATTACAGCTGCTATAGGAGAACAACATGGAGTTGGCAGTTTGACAAAACGTAAGACGCCAAGTAACAGATGATGCGTTGCGATCGCATGCCGTTTGTCGGCGGTCCCTGACCGGGTGCAGCCATGCTGCCTTCAGGTCGTTGGCATAGGCAATGACCTGGAGGTTCCTTTATTAGAATGAAGAAATCCATAGAATGTACTAGAGTAATTCCTGTGCGTGCAATAAGCGCTAGCAGGAGGCTACGTATATTAAAAACATTTGTTAAATGCTTATGGCATTGAACTTACTATCCATCATGCGACAATGGTGCAGCAAATAGATAATACAGTCCTTAGAACATAGTTTGTAAAATAGTTGATAGGTATGATTATTTTGTGTTATTGTTTCACATAGGTTCACGTAGCACAGCATTTAAAATATCAGAGGCAGTAACACTTACATCATTCAGTTGTTGTTCTCGAAGGCTAATCATTGTTTTACTAACTGATACCACTTCTTTCAACGCACGAATCTGTTTAATGGATTCTGTGTTTTGTTGGTTCAGATCTGCAATATCAGTGTACGCTTCTTGTAGCGCACGATTAGTTTCTGATAGATCCTTTCGAAGTTTCAAATTATTTGCTTTCAAATCATCAAATTCTTCTGTCATTTTGGCTAAAGCATCTGTGAGTTCACAGTTTCCTTTTAAATGGATAAGATTATCAGGGATTTCAATATTATTTCTCAAGAGTAGTTCACAAAGTAATTTGTTGCTTTCAAATAGTTCCAGTTTTGCCGCCTTCTCACTTTGCAAAGCTTTCTCCAATTCTTCTTTTTCAGTACGATGTCGCGCCAAAATCTGTCTCCTTTGTTCACGTTTTATATCAAGCTGCTTTCTAAACTCATTCATTTCTTCTTCTTTTGCTTTAACCCGTGCTTCATTTTCGTTTAAAGAGTTTTCGCTAGCCATCTCAAAGGCTTCAGTTGTTTCATCAGCACGGAGATCACCTGTGTTGTCCATCAGTTCACTTTCACTTGTGACGTTATCTGCGTCTCGTTCCCTAGTTGGGGCACTACTGACCATATTTCCCATTTTGGAATACTTTTATAAACAAGACGCACTTTCATTCGAGCACACACGCCGCGAGGATGCGTTTTTAAAATAGGTAACGACCAATACGATTTTAATCAGACAAAGGACTGTCGACTCGATGGACTCACACGTATGTATGTTCGACGAAGCAGTCGTTTCCCGAAATAGATCCCTCGTCAGCTCCAGACGTGCGTCGGCACACACATATAGCACGTTTGATACTGCCGCTTACAACACAGTTGGTATACATAGATGTGTTTTCGGAAAATCCTCCGTAAATATTTTATTTTCACCGAATATTTTCATCAAATTCTCAGAATATTTACAATATTCGTATTTTGGGAAGAAAATCACTATGTATATTTAAACACGTATGAAAACTAAATTGATACAGAATCATCTAAATTTAGGGGCTATTTCAACTCTTTCACAACCTGGTGAAAAATAGATGCGTATTTAAAAATACTTGTTGTATGGTTGTGTTTGCATTTCAGCGAGTTTGGTGTATTGGGTTGAGAATTGGGATTAAAAAATCGTGGAAAGATAAGTACCTATTAAAATGTACAGTCGCGCAGTATTGGTAAAGACCAGGTGCTAAAATAATATCTACATATACTGTGGCCTTGTTCTCGATAGATGAACTTAATGATTTGTTGGTAAATAAGTTCCGAATGTGAGTGAGTCCCGCTCCCAAATCAAATTAGTGACGTAAACTAGGAAGGTACACGTAGGCACATTTTGTTTATTAAATATGCCAGCAAACCAGTAGATGGATCACCTGATGATATCAAAGAATGGACAGCTGCAACACAAAAATAGTTACAAATGCATTGTTGGCCTTTTAAAGGGAGGAATCCATTATGAAACAAATACTAGCAATAATAATATTCTACCACGCCGTGAAAGAATTCATATTTTAATATTTTTGTGATAAAGTGAAAAATCCATTAAAGAAGTTTGACCGAATGTAGTAACTAATGTGCTTACATAGATGTGCTAGCAGCCTGTAATCAATTTTTTATTGTAAATTCGTAACGAATGTTCATTTTTTTGGCGAGAAATATAAAGTTGTTTGATTATTTAACCTATTCATATTTAACATCAGAATATAAAACATAAATAAAAAGAATACTGTGTTTGTATTAATTTGGGGATTGTCTTGATGAGGATGAGTCTGAAAAATGAAATAGCACGCTAACTGTACCATAGACAATACCTAAAATCCTTGGTTTCAAGCGTAGTTTGTCATGATACAGACAAAATACAATTGACATTTGTCAAACGTCAGTTGGTTTATCCAGCCACATAATCGAAATTCACATCACAGAAAGAATTTTCTTTCGGGAAATTCCAATTTTATGTTAAATTCATTTGTATATAACATTTTTAGTTATATATTAAAAGTAACTTGATTATATGAGTCATTAAACATTGGCAGCTGGCAAAAGCATATAAAATAAGTAAATATTTCACGTTGTGTGTCAAGATTGATTTTATTTTATTTTGTTTTAACAGTGGCTTATTGGTAATAAATAGCTAATAAAATCACTTTGTGTGTGACGTTGTTCAATTAATTCGACAAATTGGAAGTACGATAATCTGAAATGTGAAGTAATAGTTAAAGCTTGCAATGGATGAGAGTACTAAGAATTCCCCTTGTAAGGTAAAAATTTACCAATGTTTTGCTGTTTAATCCTCTTCTGATTGTAGAAAGTTCTAAGCTGATCTTTTCTTGTGGTTGATAATTAAGTATTAATTGATTTTGCTTTGATTAGATATGCCATTAGTGCATACAGTTGTTTTAGATGAGAGAATGGCTATACATTTTTATATTCCAAATACCTAAATTATTTTTGTTCTCATAAGTGTAAATACTGTTTGTAATGATTCAGAGCTCAAGGGGATAAGAACTGATCATCAATATGTGTTGTAAAACATGAAACATGAATGCTTGCTAATCTGGTAACTACTTACATTCACCAGAGTTGTGGGCAAGGTTAAGCTGTTTTAAATGGTAAAATCTCATTAAAATAATCTTCAAACAGTAATTTTATTGATATTTGTATTTAAGTGATTAAAGATAGAATGCACATTGCTTCTCTTTCTTAATTTGCATTTACATATTTACACTTTATTAAAATGTTCACTTTCATAGAAATTTTATAGTTTTGAAGTGTAGTTTTTTTATTCATTGTGTATGTTTATAAAAACATAAAATGTTGATTGGTTTATGAGTCATGTCTTGACCTCATATTGTTTACTTCCTTGACAGATGAATAATACTTTACTGTAAATTAAATTTACAGTTAAATGTTATATTACAGAGGAAAACTGTCAATACTAACTAACTGGCACTAGTTTAGTATAATAGGTTCGTTTTGAATAGAATTAATTACGCCTCTGACTAACTCCTCTGTCAAGTCAAATGATGGCTTAATTCACCATATACTTGAATGTAAAAAAATAATCATTTTATATTAAGCAATAAGGAAAATATAGTAAAACTATATGCTTAATTTGTAACTACAAGGTTATTCAGTTAGGTTTGTAAGAAGCAATTCAAAATTAATGCAGTGTAAATAAAAATTAATATATATTATCTTCCTAACTAGTTTTAAATACATTTACATAAATAGTTCTTGAATAGGAAGCCCATAAAACAAATAAGTTTAGCATTTTATGTTTTTCTAAACTGTATTCTCGTTGTAAAGTACATACACACTCGCTTGTTTGTTTTGATGTTGCACAAAATTGCTAGGATTGTGACGGTGATGCCGAGGGGCTGCAGTTGCACGCTGAAGTGGAACACTTGCGGCAACATCTCTCGGAACGGGACAGTCACATTGTAGCTCTTGAAGGGGAGTTCATCAAGAGTAATTCAAGGGCCAATGATTTAGAGGAACAAGTTAGCACCTGGCGGGAGAAGTATGAAAGGTAAACTTTACACATATTATATGTTGTTATACTCTATGATTTTCTCTGATGTCATAGATATATTTACAAACAATCATTTCACTGCAATAACTAATCTGTGAATTATATCTAATCTCTGTTACCACAACAACATCAAATGTGCAGGAAAAGGTACAAAAGCAAAAAGTAAAAAAATAGTAATAACTACATTAGAATAAAATGTTGTTGAATCTGGAGTAATGTATACTTTAAAGTTGACGATGATTGACTGATTACATTATTGATGTAACATTGACCCTGACACAACTATTACAACAATTTATTTAATAAAGATAAAGAGTTTAAAATTACTCGATTATTTCTATGTATTATTCAATTATTTCTATCTATTTGTCTTATCAACAGGTTATATGATTCACATAAGAGAGTGCAGAAATTGAATCAAGTCCTTGAAGATAAGCTTCTGCAAATGGTTGACAAGATGAAAGGAGAGAAAAGCCAACTAACCAAAGATATTGCTACTTTATCTGTGAGATTAGCCGAGTCAAAGCATAACTACAGCATGTTGCAAAAGGAAAATGTAGGTGTATTTTTTATATCTAGTCTTGTTTCATTATCAATTTTGGTTCATTAATCTTATTTTCTTTTATGTTTTGTGTTTCACAGGAGAGATACAAGAATGATATGAATTTGGCGATTCAGCTGCTCCAGTGCAAACCGGATAATTTTGTTTCGCAGAAATTGGATAATGTAAGAACATTTACAGTGATGTTATTGTTGGTGTAATACTCAGAAAATGTGCATAACCAAATATTTTACTTCACAGCTTCCTGTTGACACGCAGGCGCGAGTGTCTCAGTACGTCATGTCCAAGACGTCGAAACCGTCGAGCTCAACTCAATCCAAAAACGGTAATGACATTGATACTTTTGATGCCAGTGAATATGAATTCAATATCTCAGCCTCTCTAATGTCGAAAATTCTCGAAGACAGCATCCAAGACACTGTCACCAAACACTGTGATACATGCACCTGCAATAAATCTCAAAACAAACCATTCTGCTACAATGAGAGCTACTACTCAGTAGCCACACAAACCATTTCAAGTGGAGAAATGAAAAATTCTCTCTGTCTCAACTGCAATTCCGATGTGAAATCACTACATTCCAACCTCAGTATTAGAAGTATTTCGCCACACCCGATTAGATTAATCAATGAAAAGTCTATTAATCATGGAGTTGTTACTCCTTTGTACATCCTGCCACAAAACACTGAACCAGTCAAAGACACTGCACCACCTGTAGTGCCAGCCATTATTGAGAGACCGAAAAATAATGGTATCGTTATTGATACCATCAAAGTCAATGAAAAGAACGTAATGGAACCAATCGTCCAAGTAGACGCTATGCCTAAGACAGAGGATTTGAAATCATATAGAAAAAATAGTAGTGTGAGCATGGAGCCCGCAGTGCACCACAAGCTATGCGATCGTACAAAGAGTTCGATTTCAAGCAAGAAGAGTAGTATTCAGAGTGCAGGAAATGATGATTCGCTACTTACTAAGGATTTAATCAATAAAGACATACAAAACAAAGATTTACTAAACAAGGATTTACTGAACAAGGATTTACTAAACAAGGATTTATTAAACAAGGACATTCTTAACAAGGATCTCCTAAACAATAAAGAAGTTAAACCACTTATTGAGAAAACTGGTGATGATATCAGTCTAAGAAAGAATTCACATAGTTCGATGGGCGCAGTTAGTCGGACGTCTTCCATTGCTAAATCCACAGTAAGTACACACAAATCTAATACTCAAGTGGGGCCTGGGCCTAGGTTCTGTCATTTACGCATGCAAGCAGGATCTAAAAATATCCTCCTTGACAACGCAGAGCCTGATGTGCCACCCGTCTTATACAGGCGGCAAAGCAAATGCAATGAAAATTCTATATTCAAAGATCTCGCCGACGATGTAGATAATTTTATTGATCTAGATAAAACCGAAGAAACTGTAGATATTAAAGAGGATATCAAAAACGATAACATCGTCGTAGAGAGCACGCTTATAGATGTCCATGTCGACAATAACAGCAAAGACACTAGTGTCACCGCTAAAAACACATCTATTAACCCTATCTTGCTGAATGTTTCTTCTTCGCCTTTGCAACCTCTGAAGACGCACACGTTCTCTAACAGCTCAGAAAACAATAACAACAAATCCCAAAGTATTGCTAGTCAACAAAACACATCTGAAATCGATAATTTACTTAACGATTTCAATGCTGATAACAATAACTCTCAAATTAATAACACTCAAACTAACGATGGTGAGGAAACAAAAACAGTTGATGTTTTTACACCGACTGATAACCACGATGTAAAAATATTCAACTTCGATCGTTATGAACAAAACAAATTAACTAATCAATATAATAAACCTTTAAGGAAAATCGACATGTCGCAACTTCACTCACTCGAAAATACTAAGATTTCGAAAGACCTGCCACCTTTAGGTGACATGCCAAAGATGGAGAAAAAGCCAGAGGTTGCCAAACCACCATTGCCTCCTATTGTCAATGTTTATCCCAATTTAACGCAAACGCATTTGAAAGTAAACGATAACAAAGTTTTTACAAATGAGCAAAGTACTAGTTCTTTATCAAGTGACGATAGTGCTGCTTTACTGCAAAAGCAGCAACTGCTCAGAGTTGCAGAGTGGGTCGAAAAGAACTTGGAACAACAAAATAACTTTAATGATCCATTGGAGGAGGATGTGAATTTCACCAACAGAAATCTAAGAAGAGACAGTAAGCTATCAAGGTTAACAGAAACTTTAAACGAGTTGGCCTTGAATATGCCTCATCCTGTGAGCAAGTATTCGAAATCGTATGCCAGAGAGGGTCATAACTCGTGGGTCCATAACAACGTACTTCCGCAAAATCCAGACAAAATGGCGAAACACGCAATTGGGGTGCCAAAACATGCTGGTCATGTTGCTAAAGAAACGATATTTCCAGTCGAAAGTGGAGATGCAACGGTTACAGAGATAAGTGACACCACGAAGAATAGAGAAACTGTTGCAGATTTAGTGGCCGAAGGTTTGAGAGCGAAAGGCAATAAGGAGATAACGCCGGAAGATTTGGCGCGGATGGAGTATAATGTGAAGAAATTTTTACTGAGCGGTCCTCATTGGGCGAACCCGGGGTCCGTGACTAGGAGTCGGCGCACAAGCAGTAAAACTGAGACTGATGTATAAATTCCACAGTAGGTAGCCATGTTAGAGAACCAACTTGCATTCCATGTTAGGTTGAAAAGCGGTATGGCAGTCTTGTATAGATTTTTGCAGCTCTTTAGCTACTTTATGACATTATTTTTGTTTAACTTACATGTTTGTAAGTTTGACGCAGCCATTTTTGTTATATGTTTTTGCAAAACATGTTCCTAAGTTATTAGATATGGTCACGTTTACTTCATAAATTAGATTATCAGAGTATGTTTACTGCTCTTATTTACGGATTTTTCATACTAGTCTACGTATGTGTGTTTGAAATTTATTGCGCTTAAGATATTTTAATATAGGATTTATATTTTGAAAACTCTCGTATTTCAAAGCATTTATTTTATGAAATTTTAACGCTGAAGTAGGTATGAGATATAGGACAACGCGTGACGGTTAGCATATGGTTAACTATGTATTGGGAATTTTGTAGGCAAGTTAATTCACAGATATGTGTTAGTGTTGAAAGATCGATAATTAATTAAAAACAAAGGCTGTCGTTTGCTAGAATAGCTTAGAATAGGAAAAATATCGCCAATATTAAAATATTAAGACGAGAAATGAGAGCTATTTGTAAACGTGTGGCATCACTTAGTACGCGCAGACTACACCGTACTTTTTAAATTCGAGCACACAATTCCTTCAATGTTAGATGTGTGTCATGTATAGTGATTTTGTTCCGTATTTTATCTAATATTTTTACTATCACGATATTAGTACGCTTTCGATTAAATGTGATAAATGCAAAGTATAAGATAGTGGTTAAATTCGCCTAACGTACAAAATATTCTAGCATTGGATTAACTGAAAGTATCTATATCTAAAACAGGCGCAAAAAGTATTTTCTTAATAACATTGATGTTACCATAAAATATTATGATTAGGGATTGTCGTTTATTCGCGAGATTCTGTGTCGAAATTGTGTACCTAGTCTTGTAGTAGGTATAATTTATTTTTACGTTGAACCGTGTACGTAATGGTATTTTCTCGGAATTTTCAAACGAAATTTTCCTTAATTTGAGAATGTTTTGTTTCGTTGTTTTTATATAAAGGTCGTCTTTTGTGTTGAATGTAACCAAAAGTATTAAAGTTGTTTATCAGAATGTATTTTGTGATAATATATTTTGTCTTTTACAATATCATTCACCTTTACCTTCAAATATCAATAGTTAACAAGTATATAAGAGAATACAGGGGTAACATTATCAGTATTTACTGTAGAAATATTGAGAGTGTAGTCCTTGACATATTATCCCTTTGAACTTACTACACAATGTACTATCATGCCTCCGCTTACACATGTACAAGTTTTATATAAAGTATGTTAATATAGGCATCAAAGTGGGTGTGTTTCATGTATATTTTCCTATATCAATGGAATATATTTTTTAAATATTAGTTACGGTGGATCTGTATACAGTAGTTAGGAAATGAAATGTTAGAGCGTAGATCGCGCCTGTTGGTGCGATGAGATGGACATTGTTTAGTATATTGAGCACAACTTAGTGTCGTCCTGTGTTAGTGAATGTGTCATCGACGTCCCGACTACTTGCAAGCACATTCCGTTTGTCCAATGCAATTTTATATAATGTAACTAATTCTCTATTCATTTTGACTGATTTACATTTTGTATTTCAGATAGGTAGTGTTTGGAACTGTGAATCTGTGATTTTTTGCGATGATCAAACGATCAGGGGCTTGTCTGTTATTTGTTCTCTTGCCACTTTATTTATTGTTTCTATCTAAATTGTTTACTCTGAATTGTATATGAGAGTGTAATTATATTAATTTTGTTTCTTCTGATTATTGTTATATTGATTTGCGGTACCTAAGTAACTTAATAGCTTTAGGTACATAATATGCCCCTGATCAGATTTTTATTTATTGTATGGGTCTCATTATTTGATACACTCCATTGATCACGAAGCTTGTCGCTGGCCCTAGTAGTTAAGTTAGATATAGAATGTCACAGTCTAATTTATACAGTTGGTCAATGCTAATTACAATCTATAACATGTAAGTGAGAAAGCGCAAATATTCTCACTTATATTACAAGCAAATGTTATTCTTGAAAGACATGTTTTTCCAACGTTGTTAGTTCTCATATCAATAGAATTAATTCATGCGTAAGATGTGACGGTTTGACTAGCAGTGAAAACATTTGTTATCTCAATTCGTAAGGGCATAGTACTAAAATTAAGATATATTCGTGTTGTACAACTGTATAGTTAGACTGTGGTCCTGCTTTCAAAACAATATTCACACGAGCTACGGCTGTTCACACCGACTGTAGCTTCAGCAGCGTTAATGTAATATGTGTTTATTTATTAAACATTATGGTGAACATGCAAGACTTTTATTTGGTTAGAATAAGTCACTTCTGCTTGTATCCTTCTTGCGTTTCTTTCTTCCTTATTTTCTCATTCGCGTTCGATAATATATTTCTCCAGCAGTTCCTGCAATAATATAAAAGGTTTTTTTAACTGTTCATAAGGTTTTGTGACTTGCTTACCTGACTGCCTAATTTAAATTGGATTTTATCCATACCTGTATGAACTCTATAATGGAACATCATGTAATTTTATCTCGATGTTGTAAACATAGGGTTGAGCGTGTCCACAGCAGCGTGAAATAGGTTATCGTTGCTAACAAGGAGGAAGGGCTTATCGAGGATCGCGGCAGATGACCTTCGCATTTCCAAAATATGTACTTAGCGCTTCTCTATTGTATCTGTGACCTTGTGTACCGCGGGCCATTGTTCATACCGTGTTCAATTTTCGCTTTAACATACAATTTCACCTTGGATGATTAAAGCAGTAATTGCGTATTTTTATCTCAATGTTTGTTTGTTGTGTTTATGTAAACGAGCTGAATGACTTGTACCAATTTAATGCTCCGTTGTCTTTATTTTGATTGGGTTTCCTCCTTTCTGATATTAAGATAGACTATGTACTTATATTATTAAAACTTATGTAGGTAAGATACATCCATGTTTGTTTTACTATTGATGAGTTTTCGCTTGATAGGTACTTCCGAACTCAAAAACCTAAGTAAAACCTAAAATAAACTTACTTATATAATGAAGAAATTTTAATAAAACCAGACGATCCATTATGAAAATTTCCACTAATAAAATAAAATGGCTTTAGTAAAAAGCTTAGGTATTCGCAATAGAAGTGACGTAACACGTAATGGAAGCGATCATAAGACGGCAGGTGCGAAGTGAACGACCGTGCGATTCGCGACACCCACCGGGCGGTAGGGCTTAGTGACGACGTATACCGAACTGACAAAGGAAGGCTCGATTGCTCCCCATTCCTATTAGACTTGACATAGGTATTTCCTGAATCCTGGTGATTGATTGATTTTATGCTGTTGGCTGGCTTTACAAGTTTTTATTATTATTCAAGCATGAACTTGGATCAAACAATATATTTATCAATGAGGATATAAAAAGTTTAAAAAGAAAACATAAGAGTTCACTATTAATTTATTTTTCAGCGACTATGATGAGTGTACTCAACATAAGACTAAGTCTATAGATAGAATTAACAACTATTATATAAAAATTCAAATAGGCAAGATAAAAATTAAAAGAAATTACCGAACACTCCGGCGATGACTAGGTAGGTAATCATTTGACGTATCAAAGTCAGTAGGCAGTAAATGTTGATTTTTGTTACCGTGACCAAGTTATTTCTGTTATCCTAATTTACGGTGAAATAAATGGAATCCGAAGTTTTCACTGGCAGTAATTTATTTAAACAAAAGCTCAGAACAAATAGCTGTGCACGGCGGTTGATTGTCCCTTTTGTTTGGAGTTATTTGACCGTTGAAAACAGAAGGGTTTTTGTAATCACTTACAGCAGGAGTTTTACGGACGCTAACTATTGAAAGGGGGGTGTGAAAGTTGATCAGTACCTACATAAAAGTAAGTATCCACTAAATTTAGAAAATGTTTGTATGGAATACTGTCCGATACAACTGGACCGATTTGAAAAAAAACTTTCACCATTGGAAAGCTCACTTTTTAGGGAGTGGACACTGGACGTATGCTACTTTTTATGAAGATATTCCAAACCGGCAAAACCAGGCCTAGGTACTCGAATGAAATATTCCGGAATCCACGCGACTGCAGCGGGTGAAGATGCAGCTGACAAGTTTGTTTAATATGTGGGCAAAAAATGACAGGTAAGTAGGATTTTCATGGTGTCATGTTGTATCTTCACAATCCATGTCATGTCAATCGTAATACGTCTGCCTGACCTCTTAGCAAAATGTAGACTCACATTGTTATGTTGATTACAATAGGTACCACAGAATTTTAAGGTTGGCTAACCGCTTACCGCAGTACATAATGTTCAAATACCTACTTTAGACAATAATTACTGCGTTTAAAAGTAGGAGTGCAATTTGCTTACCCACCTGCATTTAAAATATCTGGCTTATGCCGCCTATGTTATCTCTGCGGGGTTGGTAGAGACGTAAGTACCTAATAGTCAATCAGTTGTTTATTAGGTATCCCTAGCCTATTGCCATATACCTACCGGGAACAATGCCACACTCCGTGCTACTACTGAGATTTTTTTCAAAATAACTCAGTAATACTTCGCCCTACCCGGGAATCGAATCCGAGAACTCTTGCCCAGCAGTCTTACACGCGACCAGTCGGCCACCGAAGCAGTCATATACATAGTAATACCTATATATAGTATTTACAATTAAATTCTGTTTTGTTTTCGTGTTAATTAAGTATGCAACATCACCCTTGAGCAGTTAATTACAACTATTATTACATTAAAGAAACATTTAATTCCTTACTTTCATGAAAATTAAATTTGTTTTTCACCATCACATGTCAATGTTTCTCGGGAGCATTTCGTTTACGCCTGTTATACAGGCAGGCATACTGTTATACAGCAACGTATGAACATATGAAGAGTCTGCTGGCTGAGCTTATAAAGATACAGCACAATATCAGTCTTCGTTAATACGCAAAGTGTAACACATTTACCACGGCCACTTGTTACATGTTGTTACATGAATTTCGCACAATGATCAGTTCGAGAGCGCACGTTATGTTACTACAGTTACATAGCTTATGTCAGCCAAACCATGCCATGGTAATAAAATTCAAGATTTGCACGTCTATTGCGAGCGTTCGCGTAACATTTCGGTATTCTCACGGTCTACAGTAGCATAATGTGTTTTGCAGTGACAATGAGAGAAATGTATAGAATTTATGATTCACCGTTATGCCACATGTAACTGTCTACGGTAATTTGAATTAGTTGAGTTCACATTCACAGTGTCGAAAACACGCATGCCGCGCAAACCATTTAATCGGTTCTGAGAGTGGGTGTCCATTGTAACACGAGAACGTAACGTACGACTATTTCAGTAATTTTATGGTAGGTAAACTGCAAGAAACTAGGTACTTTGTGTTTAATGATTTTTTTAATAAATAGGTACATTCTACTCATTATTTCTATCATTCTGGACAATTGAAGAACTAGATATTCACTGTTATTTATGATTCAGGTACCTATTCGATAGTTATGGTAGATTTGCTAAGTATACTTACCTACCTACTAGTAAAGAAATGGAAAAATATGACTACCGTAAAACTGGGTGAATGGGATGGGATGAGTAAATGTTAGAATATTTTCCCAACATTTATTCACCTCTCTACTGTATCTATTCACCCCTCGAATTCTATTCACGCCGTTTTACAGTACTGAAAGTTACGACTACTACTAAATACTAAACACATAATTTGCTCATTAAATTCCTGGGATTTCTCCCCAAAACTTGCAAGTGTTGTTAACGCTATTTTACAGTTAAGACAATGGAACCGCGCAAATGGCATAGGGGCACGAAAGTATAAGATTCGTATGAACACTAACAATAGCGGAACGGTATGGCACCGCCGTAAATTAGGGCCATTTGACTGAAGCGATTATCGCCGAAACCAATTAGGCTATAATTTGAATACATTAGCAACTTTGAAAACAAATTGGCGTGCCAGTTCGCTAATAGACTGAAAATCTGTATTTAAACTGAATATATATAGTTTATCGCTAAATAATTGGTTTCAAGTTCCCAAAATATAGTTGCTTAAGTAGTTTTCTACATACCTATTTCGATAAGCAAATACACTAACAAACTTCTTCATAGGTATGTGAAATATAAGCAGATATATTCTTTTAAACTGTCAAACACCAAGCGGTCATCGGTGACCGCGACCTATTGTTCTTTAATTGTGTCTATAAAACCGGTACTCGACGAGTTAAAATGGCATATACCTATATATCTACGTATTTTCACAAACACGTCTATTTTGTATGTTTGAATGCTTTCCCAAAGTACATACTTTCAGAATACAACATTACATTGCTAAAATTTAAGCATGTTGTCGAGTAGTATTTATTATCTCCCCCTCTAGGTAAGTAGGTACTTTACTTCCTTGTATAGAAAGATCAGATAGAGTCACTTCCTTTACAAAACTATCTCTTTTCACTTCACAATTATATTGTTTACAAACACAGGTACCTTTCTACAACAAATCACAGTAATTGGGTCAAAATTGAGTGTGAAATAATTTGTGCAGTGTTTCGCACGGTGCACGGCGGTACGTGCTTTGTCATCGTCGGTCGTCGGTTACCGGGCCGCGGCGCCTGCGATCTTCCACGAATTGCACTCCGCTTTAGATCACAACGTTAATAGACTGTAAATTGAATTTCATAGCCGTAAACTTGGACACGTAGGTGTCTTCGGTATTGTGTTCAATGAGTTCAGAAATTAACTGTTTTGAGGATGACCTAGAGGTAATCCGAAAGAATGGTCAACATCTAACATTACTTACGTGCAAAACATGCATCTGAGTGTGTGTATGTATGAAGATAAAATTAAATAAGTAACCTTAATTTTTTGAGGTCGATTTATTAATATAATAAAGCTAAAACTTTATCTTGAGTGTAGTAAAAATTTTCCTGAAAACCGCATCAAAATCGGTACAGCCAATCACGGGATAATCGCGCACAATATTCCATAGGTACATACATTCACACAGGACAAACTGAGAACCTCTTTTTTTTGAAGTCAGTTAAAAATACCAAATTGCAAATAGAGATGAAAGCCAAGGATATTAAAAAAGCGGAAGTAATGTCACTTGGAAATGATTGAAGCACAAAAACATAGTATAAAGAACTATACTATGACAAAAATGTCAGTGGTGTATTTATGTGTGCGTGTACTTGCAACACCGTAATTTAAGAAGTGTAATGACAGGCCAAGTCACGCGACAGATGTCCTCTTTGTCAGTGTGTGTGTGTATTCTGCGGATAAGTCTAGATGCCGGAATACTGAAACGTTACTCAACTCAACGTTTTATTTCGTGCTCAAATATCGTGCCATCTCTGTCATTTTACAAAGAATTTGTAGAGATAGAACTATACTTAAGCACGACTTAAAATTGAGTAGCGTTTCAGTATTCCGACATATGTCCGCCTTTTTTTCAACGTCCTTAGCAAAAGCTACGAAACCTATGATAAACTTTTTTCCGACTATAATCCTTCGTACAAAATTGACACAAATTAAAAATAACGCCTCATTTTGTAAATTGCTTTACGAAGGTGACATTGTTTTCCCGTCATTTTTGTTGTTATATGTTGTTTTTATTTTGTGTTAACATCAAAATCGTCAGTGCTATGTGATCTAATTGATATATTCAATATTCCGTTCAGCCTAATAGGTACATATGACTACAAATAGTTTTATGATACCAAACCTACTCAACAGTAATTCTCTCTTATTATACCTATATAAAAACGAGCTATAATCCGCAAATGGTGCACGTAAGTAGATATTTCTATTATTATTGCAATTGGTAAGATTATATTATAACAGATAAACTTATTCAATCAAAAGTAAAATATTCAACAACTGCCTAACGAACGCGTGCAGATTTAAATTTGCAAATTAATACAAATGTAGCGATATGTGGCTAAGGTTTCAAAGAGGATACTCATTGTAACTCATAAGTTAATACTTTAATAACGTCTGAGGTCTGAGTGAGCACAAACATCTGCCGTATTATCGAGCTTATTGGTTTTTGAATGAAAACCTAAATCCTCGACGCTCATTAAATCAAGAGAAGCTTCTTCAGGCTACGACCGATCGGCACAAAAAGTTAGCCAATTACATGTTTGCTCATTTATAGAGAGCTGTAATGACTGAAAAAACCTGCGACCACGCACGTATTCTAGTGCAGGACCCTAAGACACACATGTGGTCAGGGCCGTTGGCAGGCGAAGACAACTCGATCGCTGAAACATGGAGGCGGAAGTGCGGTTGTATACGCACCAGTGACAAGCTCAAAACTATCCTGGGCTCATTTCCAAATCCACCGCCACCAACTCCTATGGCCAAACATTCGGTTAGATCATTTCTTTTGTAATAATTGCGTTTTTAGAGGGAAATCGACAAATGACTCCTCCTGTCCGTGACTATGCTGACTAAAAACTACTTTGTTTTAACACCTGTTACGAACTGGAACTGCGAGTAACATAAGGCGGGATTATCCACGACTTCGGCCGGAGTTTTTGCTTGGAATTAGCAATCGTATTTAAACCCCAAAAACATGCTAAATATAGAAGAATATTTTAATTATTTTTTAATGATTTTGTTTATATATTTTTTTAGTTTGATAAAACATGCATGTACGGAGGCATCCGCGAGAAACATATGCCGTTGGATAGTTGTTGTTGGCAAGGAGAAAAAAAGGTAAATGTATGTATTTTGTGATAGTTCAATAATGCTTAATTCTTATTTATCATAAAGGTACTAGTAGCATTGAAATCATAGAATATTACAAAGAAATGTCACTATCTTCTGATAGTTACAGTTTTTTGTCTAATTAGTTGTGCGATATAATCGTCATAAGTATTGTAGTTGGCGCTAGCGTCGGTTTTGGCGTCGCGCGTCGTGAGCGAGGTGGTTGGTTCGTGCGCCGTTTATCGAGCATCGCTCCTGCTCGATGCATCGCCTGTCGTTATTCAGGAATGTCTTGCTCTTGTCTTGTTACGTTACAACACAGACACGCTGCGACCTGCCCTTTGACTAGCCGCGAAGAACCAGGAAACTGTGTAAATTAGATTAAGGATCCCCCTGTCCGTTTTGTTCATTTGGGTGTCTAATAGGTTCGCTCAGTTTTAGTTTTTAGCTGCTGATACATTCGACATTTTTATATAGATGTCCTGCCACTCTAAATTGATGATACCAACACGTTAATTAAAGGGACTCGTTTTATGTCAGTCCCTTATGTAAAGCTCTACCAGAATGTTTTCTCGTTATCATAGTACGATTTGTGTAGTGATAACAATATACGTAAACGTGGCGATGCGGCGGCAGCGTAGGAGTGTTGGTACGTGGTAATGGATGCTCGTGCGCATAGATAGGATCGAGACTAGGATCGTGACGCGGCGCGCCCTGCGACACCGCCGCCGCCGCTTCCCACTACAAGGTGAAATGGTCATTTTTAATGTTTACGTAATAATATGCTTTTATCAGCTTTTCATTTATTTCAAAATATAGTTTCAAGAAAATAATGTTTTCAAGATCTCTTGTTTAGTTATTTTAAATTATTCTAAAATTCTAAGGACTTTCCAAACAGTTCAGCTATTACATAACCCTTTTTGCAGTCAATTAGCGTAGCACTAGTAGCAATAACATCAACAGGCATTCGTTGTTACATTATATTATGAGACACTTTTATTTCATATTCGAAAAATGTTTCAGTCCTTCCATATTACGCAATAAATAATGAACTACACAATTAAAGAATTTGAAATAAAATTGAGGAAAAACAAACAACAACAACAGACAAGTTAATTATAATTTATAATATAAAACAATATATAATATCGATGAACACTTACCGGATAACGCGGCGGATGGGCCGAAGGATTCCGACACTGAATTAGTACCTACTCGTATTAAATTAATTCTTATCTTTTCCATTAAAGTCTGTGTTAATTCGGGGACACCACATTTTATTACATATTGTGTTGTAATACTTGTAATTACTCGTTTATTCGTAGTATTGTTTATAGCTAGGTAAGTCTTCCTTCCGGGACCAGCAGAGCCCTTTTTTATTAAAATAATGTCTTCATTGCATTTTGACGTGGTGTTCTGTGTTCGCATATCCTAAGTTAAATTATATACAGACGAAAAAACCCATCTGGGTCTCTGATTTTAATAGTTTTGTTCTATTCATAATTCTCATAAGTTTATCTAACCTTCCTCAAGAAAAAGTTTATTAGGTAAGTACTAGGTCAAGAAATAGGCGTGTTAAACCAAACCACATACCTAGAGCATCATACAAATTTCATTAAAAACAGAAGCGCAATAGAAATAAAACTGCGTATTTACGAGAATTAAAAATCTTTACAAACGTTTATTTATTAGGGAAAAGGAAGTAAGTGCTTATTAAAAGTGTTTTATTTATTTTACGTACAAAATGAAACCTTGTTTGATGAACCCAATTGAGGTTGCAGCCGCGTAATGTTTGTTTAAAGTGTAATTAAAACTTGATAGCGATCTCTCTAGGTTAAGACCAAGTACAGTAAAGTGTTCGTCTGTCGACCGCTAAATTGGGCTGGTGCGGCCATTCATTTACTTGAAAGATCGAGCTAGTTGCTTATTTAGCATCTTAAAACGCCTACTTTAGCCAAAATGTATTAACTTAAACTATAAATTTTAATTTATCGAATGGATCTAATCGGTTTATCTAGGAACTGTAAAAACTGTTTAGTGTTTCAACAAGGAAAATAAGGTTATTGTAAATAATTATTTGTTAATGTTCACTTTTTTGCTATGACAGATTTAAGTTCCAGCGATAAAGTTCTTACTAACACAGCGCCTGCAGACAAAAGTAGTAATTAGCAAAAATAACCAATTTTATTTATTTATTTATGCAATCTATAACTATTCGATATATTAGTTACTTCAAGTAAAAGTAAATGTTTGTTAACTTGTTTAGTTAATTTATATGGAAGGATTCTTTTAGGTTGATTCTGTGATATGATCAGCACCTTTGTGATCAGAGCGTATTTCACACAGATCACAGTACAAACTAAACTTTTGATATTAGTTTGAAACGTATGAATATAAAGAAAACGATGTTTCCAGCCGAGCAAGTCGTGGCAGGTGATAGGAGAGTTGGTGCAGCTGGTACAACTGTCAGTAACTGCGACAGCCCTGGCTCTGTACTACCTCATCTATTGTTATATGCAACTGGTGTACTACACGCTTAGAAGTGCCCTTTACTTCCACAATGCCGACGGGTAAGATTTGTTCATTGTTTGTAAATGATTTTCGGCTTTATAACTGAATTTTAAGGATTAAAATAATTTAAGAAATTTTGGAGTACCAAAAGTTAAAATACTTAAAGCTGTAACATATTGGTGTACCATAACGATATTAGTTATTTCATGACGATATGTTATATGTGTGTATGTTTTAGAAGTTCAGGAGTTAAAACCTGATCCAGACCAGAAAACTGAAAATCAATATTCCTCATAATATCCTGATTGGCAATTTTGCTTTCGAACCGTTTGGGGTTGAAACTTTAGAGCCGTGGGGCCCAAGTGCACATCTTCTTTACAAAGATATTGTAAGGAGGATGGTTGACACTTCAGGTGATCGAAGGGCTGGCTACTACCTTGGGCAAAGGTTAAGCATTGCCATTAAACGTGGCAATGCTGCCAGTCTTTTGGGCACCCTACCTCACGATAGCGATGAGGAATTTTTTTTCTTTGATGTCTTAAGATATTTTTTTTGTTTTTTTTTTTTAAGTTGGTAATATTTTAGTTTTAAATTATTTATGATCAAACTTTTGAAACGTCTAAAATTTAATTGCCCGTCCGATATTCCTGTATGATTTTGATTCAATAAGTACAGGAATGATCACATTTTCGGCATTTACGGTTATTTACTTTGGAATAACTTGGTAAAAGAGGTCTAGTGTTACAACATTGAACCAGTTACGTTACCACACAACAATTACATATATTATTTGTAATAATAACAATTTGTCTTACAGTTGTAGTAGTAATCAGTTGACTCGGTAACCTGGAACCTTGCCAACGGAGTAATTTTAGTCTTTAACAAACCGTACGCATGTCATGTACGGGTCTAATTTTAGCAACCGATATATTGCATGACCCCATCCCAAGTGATGTAACATCGTTGGTCCGATGTCCTTGAACTGTCTTTTGGAGTCATATAATATTTTGGCCATTCCTAAACACAATCGCAGAAGAGTTTTCAGACATTAATGTAATGCGTTACTTATCATTCGATACTCATCTTATCTGGTATTTGTCGGCATGAAATAAGGTTTAAAGACTGCCTGGTGCGTCGACTGGTCGCAAGTGCGACTGATGGGCAAGGGGTCTCGGGTTGAATTCCCGGGTTGGGCAAAAGTCTTATTGGGTTTTTTAAAAATTTTCCGTAGTAGCACGGAGTCTGGAACTGTGCCTGGTACATGGCAATAGGCTCACCCCCTATTACTTGGAACTCATAATAGAAATAGTGAAAAGTGGGTGATACATTGTACAGTAACCGTGTGCGTGTGAGTGTACCGTAGGTCTAATCTCTGCCGCCTACCGGCCGGCAATACACTTACAATTCCTAAAGGGTTGTGGGTTTTCATGGGCGTCGCCGATTGCTTGCCATCGGGTAATCGTTTACGGCCTATTTCATAAAATAGTTTGGTATCAAATGTTATTTTTTATCTGTACCTGCATTTTGCATCACATTTTTACTAGTTTAAACCATCCGATGAGCTATTTTTGATCTTCATAGAACAATATTTTTCTCATTTTTCTCATCCGCTGAGCTATTTTTGATCTTCATAGAATAATATTTTTCACATTTTTCTCTTTCAGACCAATGAAAATTACAATTGGAGTAGTAACACTAACATCTTTAATAATTGGATTTAACTTGATGCTGCGGATGGAGAGAGTACTCGGAATAATTTACTAAATTATTGTGTATAGCAATTATTTCAACATATTGTACAGCTTGTACAGACTTTATAATCAAGCAAAAGTAACAAAACCAAACGAAGTGAGTTAGTTGGCAAAGATAACAAATAAATTACAAAAGAATCCAATAACCGACTGAAAATTAGAGTTTTGTTTCTTTTACAAAAATAAAAATGTTACTACTTAGGTACTGTTATTAATTTATTGAACAACATTGTGCTGTAAATTAAATTAAATTTATGTCATATGAATAAACCTGTTGCGTTAAAGTAGAGCTTTTAATAGAATGATTACCTACAAGCTAATTGCCTTTGAACTCTGTCATTAGTCGGGTTGGATTGAGCGTGACTGAGTTCGCACCTGGACGTTGTTTCCTCAAATGGTTTTGGAAGTGATTAAGGCCCCCTCGCGCTTTTGTGCGGACTCACCGCAGCGGGAAGCATTACGCGGATGAGGAGGCACGTTGGAGGCTGAGTCGACGACCAACACTTGATGGTCAGACGTCGCGAGAGACGGCCGCGCACCATTCTATTGTTGCCGACTCGATTGTTGCATGCCGCCGCGAACTTACGCACGCAGCACTCACGCGTAGTGATTATCGATTAAAGCTCGAATCGTAGTGGCAGTGTTACAGTATCGAATGAACAAGTGTGAATCGTGTATCGCTTAGTGCAAAATGGTGCTAAGTGTCAGGTAACTAGAGTATGGAAATGTGAAGGTTTCACTTTTTCAGTTGCTTTTATCTATGTGTTTTACTTTACTTTAAACTTGTCGTTTGAGAATAACGAATATGGTGAATATGAATTGGTAATAAGAGCATATAGTAATGTCCTTTAGAATTTACAAGGCCTTTACTTGTACTGAATATGGTTCCAATTTATGTTCATGTAAAAAGAACACGTTAAATAAACAGACCAATAAATTCTATGGAAAATCATTTTTCATTTATAAAGCGTCTGGAACAAATGATATCTGCCTATAGGGACATGAAAGAATTCCATTCAAATCCTAACGGCCATCGGACAATCAATTTCATTGCCAAAGAATTACAGTTGGACAAATAAATCAATAGAAATAAGTAAATTCGCGACGCTACAGCAAAATTATATTTGTACTAGTTCTGTGACCCGGCTACGCTTGAACGGAATAAAAGGCATGGCTTATTTGCATCAGAGTTTCAGAACGATTTGAGCAGCTGCCGACTGACGCAGGCGCAAGTTTAAGGCCGTCAGTTTACCAAAAGATTCGGCTCTTTACCGCAACACTATTTATCGTGCTATTGTTCTCATTTCTAATGAAGTTTCATTTACTAATATTAGTTTTCAAATACAAAAAAATCTTTTATAAAATAGGTTTAAAAAAACTGACTTCAAGCCCCTCTTTTTTGAAGTCGTTAAAAAAGCAATTTGTTTGAGAAAAGGACTTAGTTTTGGGAAATGACTACCTAGTTGGCCGAGTAGTCGCAAGTGCGACTGCCGGGCAAGGGATCTCCGGTTCAATTCCCGGGTCGGGCAAAGTATTACTGGGTTTTTTCAAAATTCTCAGTAATAGCACGTAGTCTGGAATTGTGTCCCATATATGGTAATAGTCTCACGCCCTATTACATGGGACTCATAACATAAATAGTGAAAAGTGGGTGTTACATTGTACAGTGGTATAATGTGCACCTCTGCCTACCCCTTCGGGGATAAAAGGCGTGATGTTATGTTATGTTAGTTTTTCCAATATCTGATTCCAAGAAGCTCTTTTCAGAAACATTTTGGGACTTTTAAGATTTATTTCTTTTAAGGTTTTCATGAATTTGCTGTTCACAACAAATAGGCTGATACGATACAAAAAACACATGTCATTCTTCATGATCAGACTGCCTCATCGGCCGAGTGGTCGCAAGTGCGACTGCCGGGCAAAGGGTCTCGGGTTCGAATTCCGGGTCGGGCAAAGTACTACTGGGTTTTTAAAAAAATCTCAGAGGTAGCACGGAAGTCTGGAATTGTACCCGGTATATGGCAATAGGCTCACCACCTATCACATGGGACTCATAACATTAATAGTGAAAAGTAGGTGTTGCATTGCCCATTGAGTGCATGTACACCTCTATAATGTGCACCTCTGCCTACTCCTTCGGGGATAAAAGGCGTGATGTTATGTCTTAATGATCAGTACCTGGAAGATAAGATAAAGTAAACTACATTTTCTAAAAATGAAACTTGGCTAGATCGATTTATCGCTCGAGATCCCCTGAATACAAAATTTCAAGAAAATAGTCGGAGTCGTTTCTGATGTCGTTGATACAAGAATGGCTTGTTTAAAGGTGTTAGACGTATTTGGTTCCGTTTTCAATATAAAAAATCGAGATTGAGATTGAAAATGATTTGTGACATTAGTTATACAATATAGTATAGTTTCTGTCATAAATAAACGTCGATCCAGAGATTTTGAATTAACCCGTCGTGTGTCTAAACGTGGATCCACGTGAGACACAATGTATTTTCTATTCTGTCTTATATACGGACATTCAAGCGGTTAAGATTTGAAATCGTACTAACATATCTTGTTTCAGTATTTCGTTTATTAGTATTTCAGATGTTACTTGGTAGTTTATTTCGATAATTTATATTCTATAATTTATAAATTAAAATTATTAATAAATTAAAATCTATAATTATAATAATTCTAGATATTAAAATTAAAGCTAATCTAACTTCATAAGAAATAGTTTGTGCAACAGCACGTAAACCACCTAATAAAGCATAATTAGAATTAGAAGATCAACCAGCATTCTATAACTTCTGTAATAACTACGCTTTAATGTCGGATTGATAAACTGTTTGAATATGTAGGTACTAGCTATTCTCACGCGGTTTCATCCGCTCTGCTCGGCCGCTATTGGTCGTAGCGTGATGTTCTATGACCTATAGCTTTTTTCAATAAATGGTCTACCCAACACAAAAAATATTATTCAAATCGTACCAACAGTTACAGAGATTAGCTCCTAATTTATTTTACTGACTTTTCACTTTGTGTTTAGGGTTCAAACAAACAATCAAACAAACTCTTCAGCTTTATGTAATAGTACCTAGTACCTAAGAAATATTTGAAATTTGACTTTACTATGAGCTTTATTTACTACATCGGTCGTGTACCACAAGTGGTAACATCAGATAGGAGCAATACTCGTGATGTTCAGTATTTCTAACGCAGGATCTGCGCAAGCGCCGGCGTTAAGATTACGTATAGCTTTCATGTGCCTAGAATGTTTATAGAGCGGACAAAACAAATTGAGTATACATATATTTTATAGAATAAATACTTATGTAACACACATATTTTATAAAACACGTACAATAGCTTCAAAAGGTACACTTGTCACTTACATCTATATCTATATCTATACTATCTATACTAATATTATAAAGAGGAAAGATTTGTATTTTTGTATGTTTGTAATGAATAAATTCAAAAACTACTGAACCGATTGCAATAATTTTTTCACCATTCGAAAGCTGCATTATTCAGAAGTAACATAGGCTATATAATATCACGCTAGGTCCTATAGTTGTGGAGCAGTAACCAAAAATGTTTTAAAAACGGGGGAAAAGTATCGTTTCTGAGGCCTTCCGTGGCGTGCGCTGAGCATATAGTTAAAGTTATACAAAAATGTTCTATAGATGAATTGTTTATCTTAACATTATTTTTAAAAAAGTCCGCGAGAGCATATGTCTACCTTTTATAGTTTACCCAAAACAATCGTTTTAATGAATGGTTCAATCCTTATAAAAGTTTGCTCTAGATAACTTTTGAATTGTTCAATCGGTTACCTTAAGACGCGACATCGACAACGGAGGGCAGGTCGCTAAAAAAAAACTGAGAATAAATATAAATAAAACGTAAAACTATGTAAAAAATCTTAAGTCCCCCCGTGCGAAGCCGGGACGGGCCGCTAGTTACTTATAAATGAGAAAGTTTGTGAGTTTGTCTGTGTATAATGCTACTAACTCAATCACGTGGAAATGGCTGAAGGGATCGTTTTCAGACATTCTGGAATAACACATTGGTTATTTTTTTATCGCTGTGCGAAGCCGTGCGGCCTGTTGGCAGAAGCTAGTATTTCATACCTCTGAAAATAGTGAAAAGTTGTATTAAATGACTGACCTATACTTATATGATAAATCGATAAACGTAACACACTAATTATATCGGAATTTCACTCGAATTTAAAAAATAACTTTCGTTACGTATACTTACTTATCGTTCTAATGTTTTTTGTTTAATTCTGTGTTATATGAACTATAAACTAAGCATTAGTGCAGTGCAGTGTTTTTTTTCCTCTTTATTAAAATATAATAAGAGTTTTTAAATCTAAGGGGATTATGCCAGACTCATCGTGACCATGAGAATTATTGGAGTAGGGAGAAATATTAGGATCTGTCCAAACTACATACGAACTCATAGATCTTAACGCACCGTCACAGTATGGATTGGACTGAAAAGCACCTATTTCTGCAACATTAATGTTCAACTCTTTAATTAATATTTCTCTCTCTATTTTATATCGGAGACATTCCAGTAATAAGTGTTGGACATCTTCAATTACTCCGCATGCATGACAGTTCGGACTTTTTTTTTAATGAGACAAGTCCGCCACTACCTCCTGAAACCGCTGCAACTCCTGTAAACCAGGATCTACAGTGGATACAACCATGAAAAAACCGGAACACTGAAGTCCGGCGGATCACAGTTCGGACTGCTTGTTTTCCTCATTAGAAAACCGAAGTTGTTGAGGGCAATGTGTCCAGACCGTAACATATGCGCAGTTACAATATATTTTCTACTTATTCTAATGTCAGCAAACCAAGGAATACGAGGAGGTTCGCTCTGCTTGGACAGTGCAGTGTCTAATAGATTTTAATACATTAAGATATTTTTTCGTCATGGTATACTAAAAAATACTAGATGCATTTGTAAATCGGGTGCGGTAGAGTATTACATTATTATATTTTCTGAAAATTCGTTTTTAGTAGTAGCATGGAATTTGGGATTGTGCCCGGTGTAAGGCAATAGGCTTATAGGATATGAGTTTTGAGTGCCATAGCCTCAAGTTCCATGTGGATACCACATTACTTGGGATGATTGAGACACATAACTG